AATCAATCACAATTTTTGTTGTAAATATGCATGCTAAGTTTTTATATATTGTTTGTTTTTGAATTTCGCGCAAAGCTACACGAGGGCTATCTGCGCTAGCCATCCCTAATTTAGCAGTGTAAAACTAGAGGTGAAGGCAGCTAGTCATCACCACCCACCGCCAACTCTTGGGCTACTCTTTTACCAACGAATAGTGTGATTTACCGTCACATTATAATGCCCCCACGGCTAAAAGGGCGAGCATGTTTGATGGGATTCGAACCCGCAACCCTTAGATTGCGAGTCGGGGCCTTATCCACCTGGCCATGCCGGGCCCGTTTTTATATATAAATATATATAAGCAGTTAATATATGCCTAACATTTAGCATAATTAGCTAATTAATTATTCATGAGCCAAATACCGTTGATCAAAATTATAAGATACTGCAAACATTATGTGGATTTTGCATAATTTTTCCCAATTATTTGAATTGGAATGATTTGTAAGTCAATCACAATTTTTGTTGTAAATATGCATGTTAAGTTTATATATATAGTTAGATCATAATAGCTTGAAGATGTATTACTTTCTTAATGGAATAAAATCATCACCATAACAACTGAATTCTAATATCCATTTTAACTTTGCTCATTAAACTCATCATTTCGCAGGCACTCATAGTCATAAGAAGTGTTGCCTTCTTCACCATAATGAATGAATCAAGTAAAATCAAAGTAAGCAAGAAGACAGCCAGCACAAGAAATGGTGACACCTATGATCCTCAAGTTTCTCCAACAAAGAAAAATAAGATAAATAACACTTGCATTAAAATTAAATAAATAATATATTATTAACTTCACAAATGTAAATGGCACAGGTCTTGTCCAGCCTAAAGATATTCCATGTGGGAGAACCTTTTGAAAGCTGCAAAGATCAGATAACATGCTCCTCTTGTGAAAGCAATCTGCAGGTTCCAAGTGCTTGCAGAAGCAGATTTATTTACACTGAGAGAGACTTAGAAGTTATCCATAATAAAGCACAGAATTCACAAGAACAAGGTACAATAGAACAGTCTCAACTACAGAGTGTGAGACCAGTTGTACAAACATCGACTACTGCATGAGTATATGATAAAATATGCATATTTTTTTCAGAAGAAAAGGTATCAAAAGAACAAAAGACTAGAGAACCACTGATTTTGTGTACAGACTTAAGATCTGATAACACAGTCCGGCAATGTTCCATTGAAAAACAAAACAGCAAGGTTTTTTGTTATGTTGCAAGTATAGTTAGCCGAATTTAATTGAGCAGCGATTACATTGATTAGTGTCACCTAAGCTAATCAATTAATTAAAATTACGATGAAACTGAATTGTTGTTCCTCTTATTACTGCTTTCAGTTATTTCAACAATAGATTAATCTATTGCCATAAAAATAATCAACTAATCGAAACTAATGTTTCCGATTATTTTCAATTATTTCAACAATAGATGAATAAAAATTACGATTAAATCGATTGTCACGAAAGTTGACCAAAATAAAGGTTTCTGTTTATTACAAGTATCCAAGTATTCGAAATATTGCTGACATGTTTATTTTTAAGCACAAAGCTATACAATGAGCTATCTGTGGCCAGTCTAATTTGAGCCTTATAAGCTGTTGCTTTCTTTTTACTTTATGTTTGTACAACGTTGGTGATTCAGGAAGTGGGGTTCGCGATTCGAGGATCTCAGGATCGATTCCCATTGATACCATACTTATCCACCCTATCTTTATTATGACAAAGCTAAAAAGGCTGTTTGCTATTGTCATCAATTTTGAATTACTGACTACAGATAAAGCAAATGTCTGGCAGCATCCACCACCAACTTTTTTAATTTATTTTTCCTTCTTGAACTGCTAATTAGAAAGAAGGCGACTGACTGGCAGCACCACCTAGAATTTGTTTTGAACTGCAGCTAGAGGGAAGGCAACTAACTGACATTACTCCCCAACAACTTTTTTTGCTTGTACCTACCATCATTTGAGGAGCACTGCACTAATGATTATAAATGGGACCGTCGATTAATCAACTAGCAAATACTACTATAATTATCCAGTTCTAGTTGCAAGAGATATTGTGGGTGTAGAAGCCCATTACCGTTTATCTCGCTATACAAGATAAGGAGAAACTAAAAACAGCAGTGCATATTACAAATGTAGATTCTAAAGATGCCATATATCAAGAGACTGGGGGAAAAGCATATAAATATTTATTCAATCTCATCAGAAATGAGGTCATGACAAAGGTTGAGCTTGTTTAATCTTTAGTAGAAGAGTAGAGCCAGCTCAGTCTTCTCAGTAGACCACATGACAAGGAGCTGTTAGTTACATGTGGTGATGAGTATAACCAGCCCACTAAAGAAGGTGGAAGGGTAATGACATCACTTCAGTCTTCATAAAAGAGGATGAAACATGAGTTCTTCTTCATACTTCTCATACTGTCCAGTCAGAGTTTAAAGCAATAGTCCTTGTAACAGATGACACTGACTTTTTTATTCTTTGTATATCATGCTCATCAGTGATCGGTTTTCCATTACTCCAAAGATGCAAAAAAAAAGACATGGGTGGCATACATTGACACAAGAAAACTTGCTACCACTTTAGGAGAAGAAGTATTTGAGAGAATTATTGGCTTAATTGCATTCAATGGTTGTGAGTATATTTGCTGCAAAGGGAAAAGCCTCAGGTATGGTAAAGGAGACAATCAAACAGCATGACATGGAATGAGAAGCGTCTCAGTATCTGCTTGATAGACTGGATGAAATAACATGTCGTCTTTATGCTCCAAAGAGTGATGAAACAAATGTGAATGAATGAAGATATGATGTGTTTTGTAGCAAGATCTCTTCGTTCAGAGTTAGCTTGATGAAGCATGTTCAAAGGGCCAATTACAGAGCTGTTGACGGATATCGTTGGAGAATAGAAAATACATATAATGGGGAGTAGAATTTAAATGACTGGATGGATGGATTGAAGACCTGCATCAGAGCCAGTACTGGAATTTTTGACTTACAAATGTCCCAATGACTGTACACTGGAAAAATGTTGTCTGTCTTTGCTTGGAAAATGGTTTGTAATGTTCACATTGAAAACATGTGAAAATCGAGTTAATGAAAGTTATGATGAATAGGGTGATATTGAGAGGGATGATATTAATGATTCTGATGAAACTGCAAAACTC